CGGGCGGGGCCGCGCCCGGGCGGGCGGGGCGGCGCTCTCCTGCCGGCCGGCCGGGTCGCCCCTAAGTCTCCCGCAGCCGCTCAGGGTTCTTCGCCCCTCCCTACGGCCATCCCGCGGGGGTGACATTTTCCCGCCGAGTAACTTTGGCCTCCTCCCCAGGCCTCGGTTTGCCCCCGGTAAAGGGGTTCACACGCCCCTCCCCCTGTGGAGTTGGGGAAACTGAGTTCTGGCAGAGCAGAAGCCAGTGCGGCCATGGACAGAGCACAAGGCCACCCTCACTGGCACGAGCTGCTCATCCTGGCTGCGACTCAGTTTCCCCTTTTGTGAAGTGGGGGCCGATGAGACAGTAGTTACACTGCAAGATCTCTCAGGTCTCCCAGATCCAGCCCCAGACTCCAGCCCACCCCTCACCACAGTCCCCCCAAAGAAGTGTCCCCACAGAGCTCCACTGGGACCTGGCAAATGGCTGTGCACTGACCCCCTTTGTCTTGGGTTCTCCCCATCAAGACACAGAGGCCCAGGGTCCCCCCACTCTCTGAGGAGTGTCAGAGAACAAACAGCGGACTGGGGAACCCAAGTATTGGGTGACCCTGGGTGAAAGGTCATGGGCAGAGCTGGCCTCAGATCCTCTCCTCCATGCCTGTGATCTACCGGGAAGTGGTGGCTGGGGCGTCAGTGTAGCTGGTTAGTCAGGGGTTCCCCTGTCAGGTGCACTCCCCCAGCAGCCCCCGTGAAGAGAGTCTGGCTCTGTTGGGGTGAACGCAGACACAGGGGAAGGGCTGGGCTGTGGCTGGGGCCACCTCTTGGGTCATTACCCCACAGAGGCAAGCCAACAGCTCTCACATCATAAACAAGGAAGCCCCCCTCTGAACAGAGGGGGCCAGCCCAGGGAGGTTCAATGGATGGGGGAAGAGAGGGCCCGGGCCTGGGCCTCCTGCCTCCCACCTGTTTCTTCCCAGATCCCACTCAGAAACCAAGCCATCTCTGGGGCCACTCTCTGCTTCCACAACATGCCATGTACACAGGCCATATAGTCAGCATGCTCAAGCACTCTGGGTGTCCACTGTATGTCCCTCTAAGCCTCAGTTTCCCTACTTGCACAGGGATAAGTTGCTTTGACCACTGCCCCCTGCATCTTCTACCCATGGAGCCACCTGCGCAGGAGCAGGAGGACTGGACTGCTGCCCTGAGGGAACCTGGCCTGGATGCTTACATTTGAGCTGTTTGTCTTCTCCCCAATTTCCCCAGCTGCTAGCGCCCCAGTCACATACCCACCTTGGCCTAATCTGAGGCTAGCAGGTCCCTAAAAGTGTCCACCCCCCAAATCCTGGGTGAGGGCCAGCCCTGCTCCAGCCAGGAGTCTGGAGGAGGGGACTCTTCCTGTTGGAGGAGGAAAGGCAGGCATCCAGGACTAGAGCAGCCTGGGGGACAGAGCAGCAGTAACCCCTGGCCTCTCAACCCCCTGGTCCAGCTCCCTGCCTTGCCCCTGGCCCCTGGATTTTGCAGACCCCGGCTCCCTCCTGAGGACCAGCTCCAGGCAGCCCTGTGGCTCAGCAGGCAAGTCACTAGGCTCCTTATGCTGAGATGAATCTGGGAAGCAGGCTGGGCATTGAGGCTGCCAGGCCTGGCCAGCTGGATGTGGCCCCCCCTCACCCAGCGTCCCCATCAGCCCTACCAGTCCAGTCACAGCCCCAGGAACACATGCTCTCTCAGATCTCAGCCTGAGAAAACCATCTCCTCCCAAGAGACAGAAAACCTAGGGCAGGCTGCGAGGGCCTTGGGTGGGGAGGGACAGCGGGTGGGGTAGGGTGGTGGCCTGAGGTCCTCAGTCCTTACCCCTCAGGAGGCCAGGACTGCTCCAGCCTATGGGAACATCTTCCTTTGGGGACATCAACCCTCAGTGATGCCCTCTGGGCTGGAGGCTGGAGCCCTTTCCTCAGGGGCAGCCTTGGGGTCACTGACTGACACTGTCCCCATGTGGCCCAGCTGGCTGTTTTGCTCCCCTCCAGGTTTGCGGGTACAGGCCTCATCCTTTGGAGTGCCTGGGGTCCAGCGGACAGCAGGGGTGGGCCTCACACCTAGACCGACCCCACCTCGACCGACCCCACCTCAGTCCCAGCCTCCTGTGGACTGGCTGTGTAGCCCACCTCAACACCAGAGGGCTTAGAAAGACAGCTCCCCAATGGTGGAGGCTGCCAGAGGGTCTAGCCCTCTGGAGACATGGCTTTGGCTCCAACTGTGTACCATGCTGGGCTGCATGTGTGGATCAGCCACTGGCAGATGAGGACACCGAGGCTTGGGGTGGGCACTTGCCAGGTCCCCCAGCCTGACATGGGCCACTGCTTCTGAGCCCCACATGTCCCAGCTAGGCGAGGCTAGTCCCCTGGACCAGTGTCAGCCGAGACCAGCACCTTGCTCCCTTTGTCTCCAGCCACAGGGGCCCAGGCTGCCCCAAGCCACCAGCATGTGTGTGCTGGGCCCGCATCCACAGCCTGTCTGGTTCCCTGGAGCTGGGGCGCAGTGGACCAGAGAAGGGAGGTGTGCACGTGCTGGGGAACACGTTGGGAGGAGGTCTGACTGCCAGGTTTAGGAGGGCAACGATGCTGCCCCTGCTCGGGGAGCTGAGCTGGGGACACTGAGGAGCCGGGTAGGAGGGCCCTCTAGGGTCACTCTGTGAGGAGCCCAGGGGACTCAGCAGGCTGCAGCCTCCCAGGCCACCTCCTAGTGGTGAGGAGGGGCAAGAGTGGGAGGCCTGTGGGGTGAGCTTCCACCCAGGGGTCCACCGCTTCCCACAGCTCCTGGGACAGCTCCGCCCTGCCTGTCCCCGGCCCTGTGCCTCAGTCAATAACAGGAACCGCAGTGATCACAGCAAAGTCCAGGCCTCCTGCGTTTCCTCCTCCTGCCCCCAGCCTGTGAGCCAGGTGCTTGTCCGCCCCGTCTGCAGGTTAGGTACTGGGCACAGCAGGGGGAAGGGGTGGGGAGGCCAGGCTGTCTGACTCCAGAGTACGCACCAGGGCCAGGCCACAGAGCAGACAGGGCTCCACACCTCCCGGGGCTGAGCAGGGGCCTGAGCCCAGTCTGAGCGCAACGGCCAGTGGGGAAACTGAGGCTGCCAGGTCACCCTTTGAGCTGCAGGCAGGGTCTGGGGCCTTGCTCGGGCCTTCCCCTGGGGCTGACTCACTGATGCACGCAACGAAGGAAAACACCATGGCAGGGAGACTCGAGGGCTGGCAAAACCCTCAGTGTCACCAGGCTGGCTGTGGAGCTGCCTGGAACAGACCCTGCCCAGCTGCCTGGGCCCTGAGGGCTCACTTGAGTGGAGGGTGGTGTTCTGAGGGGTGGGTGGGCTGTGTCCTGCCCATTCATCACATGGTGCTCTGCACATCCAAGTGAGACTTCTAGCCCCCTTAGGATCCCATTTTTCTCCCCTCCCCAGAGGCCCCAGGAGGTCTTGCAATAAGCCATCGCATGCTGGCTTGTGGTCCACCAGGGTCCCTTGACTGTTTCCCCACTTGGCTGTTTTCACCCTTCCTGAATCACCGGGCTGTTACCTGCAGGACCAGCTGTTGCCAGGCCATCGACGGGGACTGCCCACTGCTCACGCCACCACTGCCCACACCAGGCTGCTGGGCACGCTCCAGCTGCAGGGCAACATGGCGTCGCTCCTGCTCCAGCGCCCGAGTCAGCCGCTCAAAGCGGGCCTCCTGCTCCTTCACCGAGGCCAGGATGCTGGCAGCCGAGCGCGTGTTGCAGTCTTCCATGACCAGGATGCCTGCTGGCTGCAGGCAAAGCAGAGCAAGGTCAGGGTGGGGCCGGGGCAGAGGCCTGGAAAGGCCAGCACGGGCCCCCTGCCCACCTCACTCACAGATCACGTGACTCACTCCCAGACCGGAGCATCCAGCTCTCCGGAGAGAAGCTGCATTGATTAAATTCTAAATTAAAAGCCATTAATCCAAGGCCAGCTGGAAGCAGCCGTCTCCCTCCCTGCGGGGTGTGGGGCTCTGATCCAGGCTCCTCTGCTTCCTGCCAGGCCCAGCAGAACCACGGACCGTGGGCGTCCCAGAGCCCGCTGGGAAGGGAAGGGCAGGAAGAACTAATGTGACCAGCTCTCAGACCCCCCAGGCCCTCTGCTGCCCGTAGCACATGCCCGCTCACCACAGTCTCATGGGGCTAGCCCAGGCCCATCTCACTGAGGTGAACGCTGGGGCCCAGGAGGGTGGGGGACCCATCAATAGCCACGCAGCTGGTGTGGCAGAGCTGGTGTGCCTGTGGGCAGAGAGTGAGAAGCTGCTCCACAGCCATCAGGTGCCCTGGACACCTAGGCAGCTGCAGGGGTGACACTGGCCTGCAGACCAGCAGTCTGGCCTCCATTCACAGCCACACTGCCTGGGAATGAGGGTGGTGTCTACACATATGGCAGAGTGAAAACCGAGTACAGCCTGGTTGAGATTCTGTGCCTGGAAGTGGCTTGTGTGCCTGACGCCCAATCCAGATGGAGACTGAGGGAAGGGGCCTAGGTGTCCAAGGCCTAGGAGGGTCAGGCCTGCCTGGGCCCTGGCCCAGTGCTGCCCCTGCAGGCCCCAGGGGAGCAAGTGGGAGTGGCGAAGGCTTGGCAGCTGCAATGACAAGGCAGCACTTTCCTGAACACTGCTTCCCGGCTGCCCAGCGTGTTCGTTTTTCTTGGGCAAAAAGAAGCAGGAGAAGTATGTGGAGCTCAGACCCAGGCACGCAGCAGCACACAGGGTGCACGCCATGCAGCCACACTGCCCAGTGCTGCTCAGGGCCTCCTCCTGGCCCAACATATGCCAGCCGACTGAGGCTGACTCTGCTGGCCCCCTCCCTGCACCGACGACGTAGGGCCTGGGCCTGAGACACAGCACAGCAGGCAGCACCCCTGCAGGGCCAGCTCTGCTGCTCATTGGCCTGGGCGGAGCCGGCTGCAAAGACAGAGCCCTAGAGAGGAAGGGTCAGTGCTGGGCCTGGCCATACCGGTGCCGGCTAGGCCAGGGACACAGTTGGGGGGCATGGGTGCAGCTCGAGGTGAAAGGACACTGCAGAGCCCAGCCCACTGTGACAGCTTGGGAAACCGAAGCCCAGCGAGAGCAAGCAGCCAGCGTAAGTGCCAGAGGCTGTGCTCCACTCCCAGCCCCTCTCACACAAAACTGTCGGCGTGACCGTGCGGATGGGCAGTGAGACCAGCACAGCTGGAAGAAGGAGAGGTGGTGGCTGCTGGGGGTGGAGGGGAGCCAGCAGGGAATAAGGGACAAACAGCACAGTGCATCCACGGCCGTGAGCACGCAGCCCCAGCCTCCAGCTGCCCTGCCCTGGCCCCTCCAGGGGTCCAAGGAGCACCCCTGCACAGGGGGTCCACTCGCTCCGTCTAGGGGTTGGCGGGGGGGCCAGAACCCTGAGGCTACAGCGAGAAGGTGGCCAAACCCCACACTGACTTTCTCATTGCCCAGTTCTCTCAGCTGGAGCTAAATAACTGTGTGTCTCCCAGGAGACACCCCCAAACACTAGCCAGCCCCGGGAGAGAGTACCCCACAGCTGCCCACAAGAAAGCAGAAACCCCGGGTCTGGTGCCCATGCCCTCTGTCCCAGGCTGAGGGTGCACCCCTCTGTCTGCCTGCGCGTGGAGGTGCCGAGCCCTCAGGCTGCAGCTTTGTTACCTCAGTGGCCTTTAGGGCAGCCACCGGCCGGGGGCATCGAGGAAGCAGGGAAGACCTGGGCCCACTCCCCCAACATGGTGGCCTTCCTGGGTCTGAGGTGCACGGCCCACGCACAGGAGCATGTGCCCGTGCAGGTGACCTAGGCCAGCACCCCAGAGAGCAGCTTTCCTGATGGCAACTCAAAATGCTATTTTTATGTTAAAACAATAAATATGTGATGACATGGAAGGCAAAATGTACATGAATTTTTAAGATCAGCCACAAGACTTCAAACACATTTTCCCCAGCTGGGCCTTGGGATGGGGCCCCAATCCTGGGTAGGGGTGAACACCAGATTCGCTTCTGCTGTGGCCCTGGAGGGTCTGGGGGCGGGCAGGGAAGTGCCATGCTGCAGGACCTCGGCTGACCCTCAATCTCCTCTCTGGCCGATGCCATCACAGCCTCCATCCACCTGGGAAGGGCCGCGCACTGCCTGCCAGGCAGATCCCTTACAACCCCCACCCAGACCCCAACCACCGGCTTTGCAAGTCCTTGGTGGAGGTGGCATCTCCCCACATACGCTCATCTGCCCAGCCGCCCGTGGAGTTGATTTAGCAAGAAGAGGTGGATGAACATGCCGTCCAGAGACAGCCCTGCCTGTCCTAGGGCAGGAGCGGAGGTGGTCGACCTGGGGAAAGCCTGTCCAGGCCTGGGCACCCCAGGAATGACCCCAGGTGGATGGATTGGTGGGTGGATGGAGGGATGGAAGGGTAGGCGGCTGGACGGAAGGGGAAATGGATGAACAGGTGAACAGATGCATGGATAGGAGGGGGAGCAGGTAGTTGTAAGAGAAGATGGGGGTAGATGGATGGGTGGGTGGATTGTTGGATGGGCAGGTGAATGGGTACACAGGTGGGTGGAAGAATGGGAGGCTGGCTGGAGGGATGAGCCAACGGACAGTTGGCGGGGATGAACTGGTGGGCAGGTGGGCAAGAACGGGGTTCTGAAACACTACTGGGAGGAGGGAACCTCAGCCCCAGAGCTGTAGGCACAACCCTGCCAGTACTGGCTCCATCAGGAAAACGAAGGCACCATCAGAGTAACTAGGGGAGATGCTGATCCTTCCCCTGAAACCTAAACCCACATTTGATGCCTTCCTGCCGACCCAGACATTCCTCCTCAGGAGTCCAGCCAGACCCAGCTCCAAGAAATCAAATTATGGGGCCTGAGTCCAATCCGGGCTGAGGAATTGGAGGAAATTCTTAGGGGTCAGGCCCGCAGGGGGGGCCTGGGCTCCAGTCCTGAACCCTCAACGGCCATCTGAGGGCACACTGCCCACTGCCCCTGCCCCCCATGAGGGGAGGGAGAGGATTGGCCACTGGCTGAGCCTCCTTCCACATCTCTGCCCCCCACCCACCTAGACGGGGAGGAAATGGTGCCACCAGGAGCAGAACCCAGGCTGGTGGTGCCAAAGCCCACTCTCAGCCTGGAAGGGGAAAGTGTCTCCCCCAGGCACTGCCCATGGGGCCCATCTTTACCCTGTCGCCCCTACTGTGGTCAGACACGGGGATAGCTTCTGGCCGAGCCCACAAGGACAGGCACTGTGCCGAGGCCAGGGACAGGGCTGGAGCAGGAGGCCCGGGGTGTGGGGTTCACATAGGGCGGACTCCACGTCCGTCCTGCCAGCCAGCCAGGACCAGAGGGTCACTCACAGTCAGTGCGGGGTCTGGGGTGCCTGGGCGGGAGAAGGCTGTTGTCAACCTTAAAGCGTGGAAGAAACTGCCAAGGAAAGATGGGCCAGCTCGACTCTGTGAGAATGAAACATCTCTGTACAGCCAAAACAAAGCACCACATATGGCTATTACGGTTTTTTTTTTTTTTAAGTGACACCATTTAGAGCAACACAGGCAGCGAGCGTTTCAGACAAAAGCTGGGTAATGACTTTACTTCTGAACCGCGACTTCATCACGGCGGAAGCCGGCGAGGGGCACGTGGGGACACGTCACACTAGTCTCCCCGCTTTTGTGCATTTGTAATTCTCTGGAATAGAAAGCAAGAGAAAAAGACATAAAGACAACAAAAGGCAATGGACATGCTGGGAGCAAGCGTTCGTAACATCAAGCATTAAAGTGGTACCCTCAGCTATCAGGTGCTCTTACAAATCAATAGGAAAACCCAAAACCCCAACTCACACTGGGTCAAGGCCATAAACAAGTAACGTGGCCACAGAGACAAGGTGCAAAGCAGTGAGCGTGGAAATGATCGTGTGTGCACACAGAAAAAAGACGGCAAGAAATGTGACTCAGGTGGCAGTGGCGCTTGGGGCAGAGGGCTAGCCCACAGGCTGCTCCGGGCCCCGGCCCTAGAGGTCTGCACGTGCCAGCGTTCGAGGAGGAGCAGGAGCTCCTGCCACAATCAGAAAGTAAGTCAGAAAGGAAAGCAGACGCCCCAGAAGGCGGCAAGTGAGCGAGGAGGCTGGTGAACTCAGCTCCCCAGGGGCCTGGGCGGTGCCATCAGCCGCCGCAGGGATGCAGCTGCAGCGGGATTTTCAGGGAGCTGTGCGAGCCATAATTGGATTCAGCCTGAAAATCAGATTTCCCCAGCAGAGAAGGGCCCCTGCCGCACTGGGCCAGATACCATGGAGGGCGGGGGACAGACAGAGACAGCCCCCCAGTGACCTCCTTCTGCCCCTAGGCTGTCCACGTGGACGTCCAGCAGCACACATCCGAAGATCATATGGAGGATGACTGGGGGTGAGAACAGTCCGGGAGTGTTCTTCCCAAGGGGTTCTTGCCCTGTGCAAATGGAGCGCCCTAGGCCAAGGGCAGCGCTGGTCAGCCCCAGGGCAGGGGCCACTGGGCTGGCGGCCCAGGAGGACGGGGGGCGGTGGGGGGGCTGATGTAGGAGGCTTAGGGTCAGGTCAAGGCAGGGACATTTCTGGGGGCCTGGGGAGCCTGGGGTCTGGCGAGCTGAAAGCCTGGGCCCAGAGCTGAGTCTGAGGAGTGGCCAGGTGACTGCAGGCCAGACATGGCAGAAGCAAGCCTCACCCTGGCGGGCGGGCAGGCGGGGGCAGGTGAGCATTCCAGCTGCTGCCCCACTTGGTGAGCAACTCAAGCCATAGGGAGCCA